GTCTTAAAATTGCTTTCTCACTCCATGGTCCTTCTATGAAGTTACGTTCAAAGAGTTTGTTCTCCCAGTGCCTTCTTTGACCATCGTTTCTCTTCCTCTGTGTACCCATCCAGAACCAAACATCTAGGAAGCTTTTGTTGTGTTTACAAGATGAACCGAGAAGAAAAAGGAGGAAGTGTCATCAGTTATGGGACCCATCCATAGTTGAGATGCCATGGTGGAGGCACCAGGGGACAAGTAGAACAGGCAACATTAGAGGATACCAAGGAACATCCCTGATGTCTACGGAGATTCAAGTCATCCAAGTCATGGTTGTCATCCCTGATGTTTCAGTTATTTGGTCACTTACTCAAATGGATGGGTAAGTGGAGTCAGTAGTAATTACCACTTTCTATAAAGGAACAATTGAAAGCATCCTGTTGTATTGTATTACTGTGTGGTTTGGAGGTATTATTACTGGCTCCGATAGGAAGGCTGTGCAGAGAGTGGTGAGGACAGCAAAAAAAAAAAAAAAATTATTGGGATTTCACTTCCTTCTATCCAGGACAGGGCATATAAGCGCTGCTTGACCAGGGTCCAGAGTATTGTCTGGGATGCTGCACATCCTCTCCATGACCGGTTTTCTTTGTTACCTACCAGAAGGATGCTTCATGGTACCCAAAGGAGATCAACCAGATTCTGTAAGAGCTTTGTACCATATAGCATCAGCCTTGTTAACGCTCAAGGCTCTTTTTTCCACTATGTATTCAAAATGGACAGTGATGAATATGTATCTATATCTATATAGGTGTGTGTGTGTGTGTAGTACTGTATATGTAAGTGCAATTGTGCATGTATGGATATGTATACACACAAACACACATTCTTTTAAAAGCAGGCATGAGAATTTCATTTTTTTAATGTGTGCGCGTATTCACAGAAAAAAGTGACAATAAAGCTTCTCTTCTCTTCTGTCTTCTCTTCTCTTCTCTCTTCTCTTCTCTTCTGTCTTCTCTTCTCTTCTCATCTCTTACCTTATCTTACCTTATTTCAACTGGATGAAACACATCATGGTAGTAATGAGAGGACCGATATCCAGAAATTAATCTCTACATTTTTAACACCTACTCTCAAGGCTTGGATAAGAGGAGGGAGTCTGTTGTCTGAAAATACCAATCAAGTCTCTGAATCCTTAAAACCCCCCGGCAACTGATATGGTCAAACTGCCCTCTTCAGGAGAAGAAAGCTGCTTCCGCGATTTATCCCTCACACAGCAAACAGAACTTTGATAAGGGAAGGTATAGATAGATATGTAGAATGTCGGTAAGGGAAGATATCGGTTATGCAGTTGAGTAGTTACTGAACATAGAACTGATATATTTTCATTGACCATTGAATAAAAGTTCTGATATTTCAGTTTATAAAAGATACATAGCTAGATAGATTAGAGCAGTAGTTCTCAACCTGTGGGTCGGGACCCCATTTGGGGTCGATCGACCATTTCATGGGGGTCACCAAGCAAGGCTGTCCGCCATTTTTTTTGTCCACCATTTTTTCCCCCTTTTCCGGCGGGTGCCTTACCTCCCTTGGGCTGGGACAGCTGGTGGTCGGCCTGCTCCATCTCTGCCGCTTGCCAGCTACGCCTCGGCTGACGCAGGGGGCGGAACTGCGCATGCGCGACGCTCCCGGGCAGGGAAAGTCCTCGACTTACGACCGGTTGGGTAGTCCTCGACTTACGACCGGTTTAGTCCTCGACTTACGACCGGTTTAGTCCTCGACTTACGACCGGTTGGGGTCGCGGCATTAAAAAGGTTGAGAACCACTGGATTAGAGGTAAGACAATTTCAAAATGGGTGCTTTTTAGAAATACTGGGGGCACTGTTAGACAAACATTGCTTTAATCAATGAAACGAGAAACAACGGATGGGAACTAATCAAGGAGAGAACCAATCTAGAACTAAGTAGAAATGTCCTGAGAGCGAGAACAATCAACCAGTGGAAGGTCTTGCCTTCAGAGGGTGCTCCATAACTGGAGGATTTTAAGAAGAGACTGGACAGTCACTGGTCTGGAATGCTTTAGGCTCTCCTGCTTGAGCAGGGGGTTGGACTAGAAGATCTCCGAGGTCCCTTCCAACTCTGTTATTCGGAGGAGGAGGAGGAGGAGGAGGAGGAGGAGGAGGAGGA